AATGTTCATCATTTAAATGGGAAATGATTTTTGGAAAAATTTAGAAAATCTCGTAAAAGTGAGAAGACTAAAAAAGCTGAACGAAGCGATACAATAAGAAAGCAGTCGAGTGATACGCGGACTAAAGCGAAGAATGTTGTGGGTGACAGTGAATTGTCAACGGCAGTCGTTGAAGATATGGCTCTTTCTTGGCACCCGAACCTGACTTCGTCCAGGTGTGTTATCACAATGAATAGATTGATTATTCATTATTGTCATACGATCATCCATTTATGCGAACTATTTGTTTGTGAAATATCACGGTTTATTTTAGGGTTGGATCGGGCATCTGACCCTATTTCATTCATTCGGGAGCCTCGACCTTGCGAAACCTGGGCACTTTCGTGGTTTCAGGGGCTCCTGACCGTTTCCCCACTTTCGAGATTTGAGCGGCTCCCGATCCCATCGCCACTTTCGAGGTTTCAGGGGCCTCCGACCTATCCTCCACAGAATCAACAACGGAGGCCCTAGCCTCGGGACCGCCGCTGTACTCACCTTTGCGATTGATACGGGGCCACCCTGGGCCCGAGATCCTTCGGGGTAGCATTCAGAAGACTTCCAACTTCAAAATTCCCCGATCCAATCCTAGTTTATTGTGTATCAGTCATATTGAATCCTCCTATTGTTGGTTTACTTGTTTTTCAAATCGATCGCTTCATTCATAAAGTGGATGTTTTAATAGAGCTGGAAGCAATTATTATTATTTTGCACCTGAAAAGATATCTGTTACAGTGTCATTTTGTGTACTTCATCAACTCAAATTTTATAATTCTAGAAGTATTTTCAATATACTGCGCTCATCCAGATCTCGATCAACGGCCAATAGTAATATTATAAATAATAATACAGACAATCCACTGGTATCTGTACAACCTGATCCTTGCTGTTCATCCTCTTCGGATACGAAGTCAGTTCATTGTAGCATCATTAAATTTTTTAAATTATCATACTATGAGATGATACGGTACCTTTCCGATACAATGTTTTATGATTCAAAAGAAATGATGCAAAACTGGTTGTTTGAGGTGGCACTATTAATATGATGCATGAAACTTATCCGTTTCTGTCACTGATCTTGCAGTTGTTTCTTTTTCGTTCACGGCGAGAATTTATTTGCGTTTTTGTGACGATCTGAAACGTGTATTTAATAGAATACTTTTATTTTGATTATACCATTCAATCGTGCATTCAATCGATTTTATTGTTCATTGGTTACTAATAACCATTATTAAAGATCACAACTGTGACTAATAGGTAAATGAATTGAAATGAAAGGCATTTTTTGTGGACATCATCAAAAATTTGTGATTCATTCATTTCGAAAATTTCGGGAAAAGAATTCTAAATTTCTTGTTCTCACTGAAAATTTGTATGGAAGAATTACAATTGTTATGGGCATTAAGACCTTTGATAACGTAGTAATAAGAGATTGACCTGAAAATTGATCTGAAAATTCAGAAAACAATCATTCAGAGCACCACCGACAATCTCGTCAGCAGAAGGCGGGGGCCGGGGCGGTGCTGCGGACAGGCGTAGTTCGTCAGCGCATCGAAGACGTCGTCCGCGGTCTGCGCATTATGATCCGAATGCGGTGAACCTAGCTCCAGAACGAGTTAGTATTTTTACAGTTTAAGTATTGGTAAATATTGTATATGATAGAGTGGTGTGTAACTGAACTGAATGTTTGGCTGTGTTGAATGCTTAAGAATTCAATTGCTAAACTCTTGAATGAGC